CCCCAAAACCCCAAAACCCCAAAACCCCAAAACCCCTGCGGAAGTGACGAATGTTGAAAGGTATTTTAGTGACGTGTTGGAAGGGGGTTATTCTTGGGCTCTGAGGATGGTCTTACCCTCGCTGCCGCTCTTTCTAGCGTGTCTCATTGCGTCAAGGACTTCCTCTAGTTTGAAGATTTTACCGATTGGGGTACTGAATGTTCCCTCGTCTTTTGAGATATCATCGAGGATTGTTTTGTTCCATTTCTCTACTTCTTCTTTTGTGAGGCTTGATAGCCATACAGTTAGCCAGAAAGATTCTACTCTTTGAGATTTGAAGAGGATATTCTTTGGCTCAAGAGAAATATTTTCCATGGAAAGCATGCCATAAATGTAGAGAGTAGTGAATCTATCCATTTGACCAAATACATAAGCTGCTACTTCTCCTGCCAAGGCTGTGAAATAAGCAGTTGGCTTATGCTCATTGATAGCTTCAGTGAGCTGTCCCGGGAATTCTTCTGAGGAATAATTTAATGTCACATCAGCACCCATTTCATTAAGCATGGTGACTTGCTCATCTTTTCTGACTAAGTTAATCAGTTTGATACCGAACTTCTTGCATGCCTTAAGGAAGAGCTTTCCACATGCTCCACTAGCTGCATCGTGGATAACTGAAGTATGTCCATTCTTTTGGCAATAATCGATGAATCCACAGATGGTAAGTGGGTTAGCAACAGCACAGGACAAAACGTCATAATCAGTTGTACAGCCTTCAGGATATACAATTACTCTGGAATGAGGAAGATAGATATACTGTCTAAAAGTGCCCTGATATCCTTCATCAGTGAAGGAGTTAGTAAATGCTGCCTTTCTTCCTACCAAAGAAGAATCAATATTAGCTCCAACTTTGACTATTTCTCCTGCTCCCTCAAATCCAACTCCTGAAGGAGGAGGTGGCAAATCTTCTTTGTTACCATAGAGCCCTCTGCAATATCCCTGGTCTGCAAAGTGTACGGGGGTGGAATGTACTTTAATAAGGAGTTCATCATCTTGGATTTCTCTAAGCTCGAGCTCAGCAATAGTTGGCTTCTTAAAGTCAGTCACAACTGCTCTAAACTTTGTTCCTGAGGCGTAGTCGGATCCTGCTTCCATTACTATTTTCAATAAGATTACATTCATAAGGGGTTTTGGGGTTTTGGGGTTTTGGGGTTTTGGGG